AAACAGAGCAGAGAAATAGATTTTTCAATTTCCAGACACTAAAAGCAAAGTTTAATCAGAGGAATCTAACATTAGCTGCATATCATTTAGGTCCTATAAAGGGATTTGAGGGCGCCTCTGCAGACCAGCTGGACTTCCCCATAGATCGCACCGTACTGAGGGAGTGGAGCAGAACCTGTAGGAATGTGTCATCCATCATGAAAATGGATTATTGAGTAAAGATTTATCCTCTTTTTACAGTAAGAGTCTCAGATTCATATATCTGATGATTACTGGTTATCAGAATATTATTGTACTATTTTTTCTGCTGCTGACTCCATAATATCATCAGCATAATTACATTCAGAAATATGGTTAAATGCAATGTGTGTTGTTCAGCTAAATAAATAAAAAGATATATATATATATATCGAATTTCTGCTTCTAATGGGTCTTTGGAAGAAGGTAGAAATTGGGATAATTTTTATGCAGCCACCAAAAACAAAAATGTTATTATTTTAATAAATATCATTAATAAATCTTAAAATTCATATTGCTCCTGGTTTAAAACCTAGTCATATTAGGTACTGGCCGACTGTCTGAAGGGACAGGGGAGCGTTATTGCTAGAGGTAAATTATGTATTGAAGGGCAGTGTTTGCAATATTATTATCACAAAGGATTTCATGGATGCATACTTTGTAAGGCCTACAAATTCAAGTTTCATCCATTCCTGCTCTGGATATCTAGATCATATTCTGATGAACAGGCTCCAACCTCAATTTATCCACCAGGGACTACAGCCTATGGAGGGATGTGGAAATGGCACATAATGAGAAAGACAGAGAAGTGTCTAGAAAATCAGGATTTATTTCATTATAAAAACATTTATACCAAAAAAATAAAGAAAAAGAAAAACCTTAAGAGGCAAAACTTGCCATGTTTCTAACCTGTTACGGACGGAGGAAACCAAAATAATTGTGTTATAAGGCCTTCACTGACATTCATCTGATTTATTGAGGCAGAAATGCAACATAACTTGTTCTGAAATGCTCTAATTTGGAGTTAAAAGCTAATTTAACAGTCACAACCAAAAGGCCACGTTTCCTACACACACCTTATGTCATTTATCATGAGGGTCTGGGACTAAATGCCATCCAGTCTTTTTCATGACTGAGAGCAGATATGTGATTAGAGGAGGGAGCTGTGAGCCTAAAACAGCAGCAGAGCACTGCAGTGTTCACCCGGGGGGACACCATGTTGCACCCTGGTCTGCAGCGGCAGATCGCTGGATGGGCAGTGAGCTCAGCCACACAGGCAGTGGACCGCTGATGATGCAAGGGGTCATGGAGGGGCTAAGTGAGACCTCACACTGGACAGTCAGGCCAGAGCTCAGGCCACAGTGGCATATGGGTGTGAAGGAGGTGAGGAAGCCGAGGAGGGTGGGGGAGAGGCCAAGCTGTCCAGTCTACTTCTCATGAGACCCTCAGCTGTCACAACACACACTTATCAGCCCTAATACTAAACACCCACGAGGGAGACAAGGGGGTAGCATCCTTCCTCCGTCCAACAGAAGAAGGAAAGGAAGCGTAAGCTCTGCTTCCTGCTGCTGTGATGGCAGAGGAAGGCAGGGATCTGCTGCAGCCTCCTGCTCCCTACCACCTCTGAGGCCAGGGTGCAAACCTGCTAATTATAGCTGCTGAAGGATGAGGGTCTGACCCAGATAGTTATTTTAGGTCCTGTGTGCAACGAGAGCAGAGAGGAGTCAGAGCGGGACAGGGGAAGGACAGCCTCCACTGTCAGAACCGACCGAGGTCACGCTGCCAAGTGTGCTCCCATTTCCTCAGAGAGCCACAAGATCACCAGCATCCCAGCAGGAGCCCATCCTGATCATGGCTGACTGATATAATAATCATCTAGCACATCCATCATTCATGTGCACCAAAATACAAATTCATACAAAAATAACAGAGAATTGAATAAAAAAAAACAAATACTAGAACCTTATTCCCACCTGAGATAATAATGTTCAAACATCAAGCAGTTATCTACTTCAAACATAGTTTTTATATTAAACCTACACAGCTGGAGCAGCTGCTCAGAAAACATAGGAACTCAGATATTTGCACCCTTTTCCCTTCTGACCCACGTCCCTAACTCGCCAGATATCCAGGCCATCCTCTGAGAAAAATACCCCCCCCTAATGTATTAGATTCCAAGGGATGGAAGGACGGACACATACTAATCCAAAATGTTTGTTCATTCTATTCACTTTTCTGTACTTTACCAGATGTGAAATACCCCAAACCCACTTTCTTGCCTTTGAAGCCTACATGAACCATGAAATATTCAGCCATGTTTGGATCCTTGCTGTGACAGGAGGCCGCTCTAATCTATATGTTTTAGATTTTCCACGCTCTGAATAGGGATGGGGATCGTTAATATTTATTGATATCGATACCTTTATCGATACTCCTTATCGATCCGAGTCTTTATCGATACCACTATCGATACTTTTCTGTTATTTGGTGGAAAGACGATGCAACAATATTTTTTAACAGAACTGGTATTGCTTTTATTGCTTAACAAGTGAGCATAACAAAAACGTTTCTAGCCTTCAATAAACATGGCTAATGTAATAGGCCACTTTGAAATGACATAAAACTAACTAGAATATATTTTCCCAATTGTTGGTTAATGTATTGTCTACTGTCACTTTTCATCGTGTTTTTAGGAAAATATTTAACAAATAAATAATTGTATTTTAAACTAAATGTAATTTTTAATAAATGTTGGCATCAGTAGTTTAATTATATATTCTAAAATAATTAGAGCAATATACAACTGTATTACTCATGTTTCTCGCTAAAAACTCAATTTCCCGTTTTCTTTACGTTACACTTGAACGCATCATGATAACCTAATTGTCGTTTTACTGAGCCAATCTGAACACATCATCACGCAGCACGTCTGAAACTTTATTTACTTTTCAAGCTAACTAGCTTGTATGCTTCCGATTACAACACGGATTTCACAATTACTATTTTTAACTGACTGGACAAGCTACAAAGTCTGTGTGCGCGCTTACCAGTGGTACTCTGAGTGGATGATGGAGACGGGCCCGGCTGTGGTGCGGGGGCAGGAGGAGGAGGAGGAGTCTTTTCCGTTCAGCCATTCTCAAGTCGCGAGCACAGTTAAGTGCCAGACTTGTTTTACTTTAAATATCTGTTTGCTAACAATTTCATTCCAAAACATTGGTGGACATGCTGCAGTGATCGGATTGATTAGATTTAAATGCTGTGACGCGACTCGAGGGACACACAATTATGTTACAGGACCTCCGGGAGAAAAAAAAAACGACCAGACTCGATAGTGGTATCGATAAGCCCAAACGTTATTGATTTTCGGGTTTTGAAAAAAGTGGAACCGGGTCCTTGATGGAACCGGGTTTCGATCCCCATCCCTAGCTCTGAATAGGATTAATAACCCCCCCCCCAGGTGCCTTTGCTCTTGGGATCCCTTTGGACGTCTGGGGCTTTGGGTCCCCCGTAGCTCGCCTCTGTGCTCTGGAGGGGCCTTCGGCTCTTCACAACCACTTTTGAGCATTTCTCATTTGCATAAACTTTACATGCACAAGTTCACTCTCACAAACCACTACAGGTGCTTGGCTTGGGGTACTTAGAGATTCACTTCCATACAGAAAGCCCATATTCTTATCTTCAGCTACCACAGTATACATGTCAGATTCAATAATACTACTTATACTTCAGCGATAGTACCAAGATGTTACTTTATTGTATCTCTTATACTATATCCGTTGGTTGTGCTGTTCTTTTTACATCTCTTTGCAGGTGATGAAGCAGACTGAAGATGTTTTGTCGTTATCTCCCCTTTTATCTCCTCTTTCTTTCATCTTTTCTCCTTTTCTTTTCCTTTCCTGTTCTAATTACATTGCAGTGTCCATAAAATCTGTACTACTCCCCGCATGAATTATAATAAAGCTATTTATTTGCATAAATCAAGCCAAACACTATGGCGATAGCCGTACTGCTCCACATGTAAAAGCAAAATCTGTTGGGCTCTTTTTGCCATAATAGACAATCATACTTACTGCCACATCGCCAGACAGGACACTGTTAAAAAAAATAAAAGTAGCCTGTCTGATTCATAATAACAGAACCACCTGGTATGTCCAGCTGCATGATTTCAATGAAAAAATTACATGAAACCAATATCACATCATCAACACTAAAAGCTCTCTTGTCCAGAGTCCATTTTCTTCACTGTAGTGCGGTAAAGTGGGAATTACTAGCTCCTATTCATGGGTCTAACTGCTAGCTGTAACCTTTCTCTTCCCTTTCGTATTGTAGCAAACCCACTTTAAGCATTTTACCGGCACCTAATACAGTTAATGTCTCACTCAATTTAAATGCAACAAGACCAAAAATTGAGTGCCTGTGTGATTTTGCAAAAGGATATTTTATAAATGATGTAAAGTTACCCGTTAATTAAGGACTGGGCGATTAGTAAAAGGCCTTCTGCAACAAATAAAAATAAAAGACCAAATAGGACGGCCTTATTTTGTAAATGAGGCAAAACAAAAGACTTGTTTGTCCTGAAAAACAGCCAACATTTACCACCAGTGTTGTCTTCTATCACAGCTAATATCCTAGCTGCTTTAGCTCTCCCTTCAAACCTGAGAGGCCATTGACAAAGGGTCCCAGTACCGCCCGTATCACTTAACCACATGTCAAAACACAGAAGTAACACAAGCGCAGGGAGCAGGTGAAGCTCCTGAGCTCATAAAGAAAAGAACAAGCTGGGAATAACACCCAGCACACAGGAGAGGCCCCTCGCTGAGGGGATACAGCAGGGAGCTGGAAAGCTGCCAGGTAGAGACAACCCTTCACCTCAGGGATCCACAGAGCAACACAGGAGAAACATGACTCGCCGGTTACAAAAGCTGGATAGACAAGGTAGGAAAAGTGTGGATTAAGAGATAAAAGAAAGGACTGGGTCTTACCATGGTGTCCCGTATATCCGGAATCCCTTTACTGTGACGTCCGAGTCCTGCAGGTACACACAGTTTGTGAGGAGCGACTGGACATTGTCAAAATCCTCCGGTTTGAGTTTGGAGACTGACGGGAATCTATAGTAATCCTGCTTGACCAGCTCTGCCATAAAGTCCTTATCAAAGGTCAGTTCGTGGTTACCAGCGATCACCACCTTGAATTCATATGGAAGGCCACCTGTGGAGACAAGAACAGAGAGATATATGTTCCACCGCTTTTTCAGATTTGTTTTAAATAACAAAAACTAAAGGAGGTCATGATTATCAAGTAAAATATGACTCAAACTGTTTTTCGTTTAAACTCAAAACTGCTGAGCAATGATGAGCACAAAAGAAAGTTGGTTTTATCACTAGATGAGCAAAAGCCAATCTTCAGCTATATTAAAAAAGAGGTACAATTCTTTATCAACAGCAAGCAAAGAATAAAGTCAAGGTTGACCTTGATTTAAATGACTTTTTCCATCCAACCACAAGTTGCACAATCAATCCCACTGCAGCAGGGCCAGAACACCAAGGGGTTTAAATTATTTCAAGAGGAGCTCATCAAAAGACATGCAAGTTACCAGGGCAACCTGCGTTGTATGTTATTAGTCAGAAAATTTTTAAATTCCTCACCAGAATCTAAATTTCCTAAGAGGAAAACTTTGAACCAATCTGACTGTTATGCTACGTTCAGACCGGACGCTGCAAAAGCAGCAAAATCGCGTGTGCTGCTTCATTTTTGCTGCTTGTACCAGTTAGTTGTGACGCGCGGCTGAAGCAGCTTTGCTGCTCTGGCTGCGTGGTGCAAAAGTGGCTCTGACGCGCGTTGGGCGGAGCTTCACTATCCTTTCTCTGCCTTGCAGCTATATTTGCTGTGATCAGTGGGAATAAAGTAGTTTTAATATGTGTTTAAGTGAGAAAATACACCTGAAAACTTAATCAGTGCAGTCAGTTCATTCAGATTATCATCCTGCCTCCCAATGTTTTTTCTGTCGGAGCCGCTCAGACCCCCACATACCGGCGGTGCGCCGACAGAAGGAAGCCCTTCATCAGCAGCCTCTGGCCGGGTCGCCTCCTCGCGGTTTACCGCGGCTGCTGGTAGGTGTTTTTCATCTAAATAATCCGATCTGCAGGCACCAGAATAATAAAAGCGAACATATTCTGCCGGCAGATGTATATATTTTAAGTTAATTATGCGTAAATAAACTGTTTAAGAGGAGTAATCACAGCGGTCTGTGTCATCAGCGCTGTGTCTCTCTCCCAGCCAGCTCCCAGATCAGCTTCTCTGATTGGTTGACGCGGCGTGTCGAGCAGCAAAAATTCAATTTTTCCATCTCGAGCAGCAGCGCGTTTGCGGCGCGTCACGCGCGTCAGATGCTAAAACGCGCCCGACGCGCTGCTTCAGCTGCTGAGACGCGCTGCGCCTGCTGCTCAAAACGCGCCGCGGGACCTTTTGCTGCACCTTGACGCGCGTCAACCATTGACTTTGCATGTAAACTCGCTGCTTCTGTCGCGCCAGCTGCCCCCGGTGTGAACGCAGCATAAGATCTGGTTGAAATGTCTCCGCAAAGTGTCTCGATATGACGTGTTGTAAATTGGCGCTTTATGAATAAACTGAATTGAAACTAAAGAAACTTTACTTTGTAAAAGGATTGTGTGTTTGGACAGTTGTTCATCTTAACAGGAGGGTTTATCTCTTAGTTTTGACTAAAAGGAATTGATGCATGTGATTATATGTCCACAGCTAATGTTTTGACAAAGACGTCTCACTCTTAGTTTTCAAAGGCTTTACTTCTTAAAATTCAAAGCCTTGTTAAAATGTTAAAGGGTGCATATTTTTCGCCTGGCAGGTGAGTTTTTACAAACGAAGGCATTTGTCCAAATATTTTTCACCAGCAGCTCTCCTCCTCTCCCTCAGCAGCTCCCTGTGTACCTAACCCCGAGCACGGATCACGACTGAAAAGAAAGTCAGATAATTGGAGGGAAAAATACCTTCAATTCAGACAGTGATAGAGGTTACAACCACAGCCAACGGTTCAGCTTGACCTCAACAGGCCACCGTCCATCTGTGTAGCTGTCAGGCAACGAGAAAAAAGCATGAACCCCAACCTGAACTAAATAGAGAAGAACATCTATTACAACTCTCATCCCCTCATCTTTCAACTTCCTCTCTGCCCTTTTCTCGCTCCTCTGTCAAGGTGATTTGTCCCGGTTCCCCGACGCCATCAAGAAAACCGACTTACTGCTTTATTCCAGCCGACTGAGCACTCGACCAAAGGTTCTGGCATTCATCACCTTCCTCTTATTCTGTATTTCTCTTTTTTTAACCTCTCCAAGCTTCTTTCTTTACCTTTTCTATATGGGTAAATTAGAGGTAATTAATTAGAAATTATAGAATAAATTTCAAAATAAACCTGCCTGATGCGAGTTACAACAGCGTGCAAATCATTGCAATTTTATATTAATCTGCAAGCAACCCTTGCCTCTAAACTATCCAGCCAAAGTACAGAAAACATAAACCTATATTATTGACCGGTGGGTTCAAACCAAAGACACAAAGAGAAAACACTTTATTTTTCTAGAAATGTGAGCAGCTTTGCTTATTCTCTAATCAAAAATAAAGGGGGGAAATATTAAGCTCTGTCTGGAAAAACCAGAGAGGGTCCAAAACCAGAAGAAAGTACGTTTAGGTGCTCAATTTCTTTATTTAGGAGCAACTAAAATTATTACCAACAGTACAAAAGAAAATTTGATCTGACAGCTTGTTCTAGAAGTCTGTAAATCTGCAAATACCAGCATATGCTTCTCAATATTCTTGTTTTAATTCTATAAAAAGATAAATTACATATCAGCATAACCTACATGTCTGATACAGAAGCATCAATATTGTGATCTCTACCTAAGCAGGCATAAAAATAAATTCATGTTGACCATTTGGACCAGTGTAAAAATATTGACCCAGGATTCTGTCAGCAAGTGCTGACACTTCCTGCACAGGTGAAGCCCAAAAAAATTTAAAAGGCTGAAAGAAGAGGGCTGCAGCCATATCTTGATTAACTCTGCTTGCAAAAAAAATAAATAAATAAAAAATAAAAAACCTTGGTTCCTGGGATTTATGCTTTATGCAGTGGGATGGATTGTGCAACTTCTGGTAGGATGGAAGTAGAGACTGCATTATATATATTGTTATGGAGTCCTATGTGGGTTCTGTATTTCAGAAGAAACTGGTTGAAACTCAACTTAAACTGGTTTTATTATGCAGGTATCCATTATTAAAACCCTTTGTATATTTCCTGCAAAGATCAGACTAGTTCACCAAACAATGATCTGACGCTCACCCACTTCCACCTGAAGTGAGACAGACAAAAATCTCCAATCAGTGGAATATCCATCTGTCTGACAAATGAAGATTTAAGACAAATGTTGCATCTCATGTTCAGGATGACAATTGAAGACCCTGTCAGTCAGCATTTTTCATGCCATCATAAAAAGGTAAATAACAGCTTGTGTAATAAATGTATTAGGGCTGCAAGTAACAATTATTTAGCAAATCGATTAATCTGTTGATTCTTTTTTCTATTAATAATTGCTCCTTAAAGAAGATTTGTTTACTAAATTAAACCAGGTTAAATTAAAACTTTTCGTCTTGAGGAGCTCTGGATAGAGAATTCTGAAAGTTATTTTGGAAAGAAAAACAGTTTGTTTTTCCTAAATGCAAAATATTTACATATTTCTTCACAGTTTTGGTATAATTACTGCTCTAAGTGAGTTGCTCTGTCAGCTAAAGACAGGTTTTACAGTCTCTTCACTCCAGTTAACGATTAATCAATTGCTAAATTAGTTGACGATTATTTCAATAATTAATTAATTACTATTAATCCGATTAAATGTTACAGCTCTACTTCTTATAAGTAATAAATACTTATGGCATGAGATCCCTAAGGTATTCACCTGCCTTCTTCATCCCTAACAGTTTAGAGTTCGAGTAATATTAACAAGAGACTGTCCCAATCTTTGAAAGATGACGGTTTAGCTGGAATTATAGTATGGCATTCAAAATGTAAAAGCTGACATTATTTTAACTTAACGTTTTTGATTCAAATAAAGGAATTTAGATCATGCTGGAAATTTTTGATTTATGTATTTGTATAAATAGCTTAAAACCCTGGTTTTTCTACCTGGCTTTGTCAGAACAATAGAATCCAACACTGGCTAATGTCTAGTGTGAATGTAGAAAACCCTTTCAGCAGCAGAAATACTCATCAAACATGACATCATTAGATGTATTTTTTATGCATTTCTGTGTCAAGAACCATAAAACTGCACGTGACTTGTGTTTGTATTGACGCATTTTCTAAGTTGATTTCAACTACTCTACAGTCAACAGAGAAATAATTAAAGATCAACATTTTTGCTTTTAAAAAGTCTAAATAATGGACTGATATGCTTCTTTTTCTTTGCATTTCTGTAGAAGTATATTTTGCATTTAATGAGCTAAATGTTGGATCACGCAAAGTTTTGAAAACAACCAGCCATTAGAAGCAATGCCCATTGGTCTAAATAAATAAGAAAGTTTTTCCATGTAGGCAGGTAACGTAAAGTCATGTCGATTTTATAACATATTCTAAGTTTAACTAATCAACTTGTTACATTATCATTTTCTATTAAAATCCACCCAGATTATGGAGTTTGGCTGACAGGATGATACCCTTTGCTGTATTTTTTCAGTCAGCCCCTTCACTCTATATTGCTTTGGTCAGTAATAACTGCGGGTTATGATGCAAGGCAAAAGGGAAAATTGAATAAAATGCTCAATAAAGAGTCCAATAAGACCTATATGTTGAACAAAATCCATTTTGATTTACAATGACACAAGAACAAAAAGTGATGAGAGTCTGCTGCTTTATTCTCCAGGTGGCCAAATTGAACAAAAACTAATAGAAACTGAGGAAATATAAAACAGGTTCCACATAAAAACACACAGGGTCAATAAATATGAGATCCACCACATCCAACTTGAGAGCGAAATGTTGGAAATAAAAGAATAATGGCTCTCTGGTCTACAGGTTTCATTTCTGCTCCTCTAAATTAGTTCTTGTTACATCTGAGGATCATAAATTGCAGTATAACGTTAAATGAAAAAGCAGTCCCCCAACACACTAACTGAATCATGCTTCCATTTCCACACACAGCAGCCAGAACTGCCTCATTTTCTCTGCCACCACCATCTCCATTACTCCACAGGGCCTTTCCACGGATCCTTATCACCAGTGAAAAGTCTCAGAGGTTTGATAGAGTGATCCAGCTCCAACTTTATCTCACAAAGGACAAAATAGAGAGGAAAAGATCTGCAGAACATGAACTTGCGAAATGTTTAACCACAACTCAAGAACAAGTAGACAGACGCTAAAACACTGCGTCAATTAGAAAGTTTTACCGTCAGCGCACAACTAAAAATACTCTACAGGCATAAAAAGATCCACATATTCTACATGAAATCACGCGCGTTAAAGAGGTGACAATCTAAGAAAATTAATCTGTCCTCTCTCCTCACACATATTCCAATCAATCCTGGAGGAAATGTGACAAAAAACAAATCAAATAAGGATTTTATATTTAGATCAAAAACAGAGGGAAAGAAAATAAAAATACATTAAGACGTGAAACACTTAACTGTGTACCTAGAGGTAATTTTCTACCTACGTTATAAGACTTAGAAAAGTCATAACTTGTTAAAGAAAACCAAACTTATTACAAACTAAGGGCTGATTTAACTATTGGAGAATAATAATCACATCTGAAGTTATAAATGTGTTTAAAACTAGTAGAAAAAGGCTAACTTGGTGGGCTCTAATAATGGCTACTTCTTTTAACACACAAAATGAGAGATGAGTGAAAGAGCTCTGTTGGACTCTAAAAGGGATCAGAGGCAGAGCTGTTATCATCAGATAAGCCAGGTCACGGGAAGCTTACTCCTCTTTATCGATCTCCAATGATCTCCTCCAAGAGGCCAAAGGGAGTCAATCTTACAGAAAAACTGTTTGTCTCCTCTGGAGTTTTTGAGACACTGAAGGAGAAACAAACCGTTCAGAAAAGCTTGATGTCTGACAGGAAATGTTGCAGATTGAGCCTTTTTAGTCTCAGGACTTTTAGTGGCGTTTCCTTTTGTCTGCAGAAAATGCATGGGATCTGGTTAACTCAAGAGGAATTCCTATTCCTGGAACTTTTTCCACATGTTATTACTATGTTTTGTTGTACTTTTTAATTATAGAATAAATCAAGTATGTTTTTATTCTACATGGACTCTTATCTTGACCCTTTTTGGCCTGTGTGGCAAAACATCTATACTCCAATGGCTGTGAAGGTTAGAAATATTTATTAAAAGTACTGTACATCATATTTTTACTCTAAATAAAATGCTGCATTTTGTTTAGTCGGAAAGCATAGATGAGCTCAAATGCATCTAAAGCAAATATTGATACAAAGGGTCAAAATCCATAATTGTATTCAGCTAAATTAGGCTAGAAACGAAAAAAACACGACAGTCCAGAGTTTGCTTTTCATTCTATCTTAATATTTCAGTGATGTGCTTTGAGTTGGCAACAAAAACCAGCAGTAATGTGCGTTTCAAATGTGTTGTTTGGTCACAAATTATGTGTGAGCACATTTTAAAGATCTGAATAGCTGGAAACTTCAGCTAAAGTGCTGAACGTCTTCCTCTATTGTCCATAAAGTTTTCTGTATTCATTCAGCAGATGAAATGAGGAAAAAAGGAAAAAATGGCCATTTATAAAATCCTGTATGAGCTGCAGACTCTTTTCTGTCTGAGGTGTTAGTTATGTATGAGTGTTTAAAAATGTCATGGCATGATGCATTTAATCAGACTTAAGTTTACTTAAGGTCACTCCAAAACCTTTACTGCATTTTGTATCATTTGTTTTTGTTCATTTATTTTATCCTTTTCTGTCACACAGATGTAATTTTTTTGGGCTTGTTTTTGAACGTTGTTCTGCTCCATAACTCAAGGTCAGACGCCGATGTTCTGAAATCCTCGGCCATCAATTTTGGCACACTGTCCAGGTTATTAAGCAGAAGAGCAGGTCCAAACCATTACACTGCCTCCACTGTGCTCTTTGGGTGCCTTTAGTTAAATCATGAACTCTGACCTTAACTGGTAGAGGTCAGGGGAGCAGCACTTTAAACGAGTTCAGGGTCTTTTAGTTTCCTCCCAGATTAGTCATTGATCCACCCTTAGGGTGGTTTTTGGGTAAATGGCTCTTATGGGAGAGTTCCCCTCCATGTCCCGTTTTCTCCATTTGTGGATAGCGATTCTGATTGTGTGGAGTCCAAAAGAACGAGGAATTATTTTCAAACACTAAACAGACTCATAGATGATTGTTTTTATTTTTTTTGTTTTTTTTTTTTGTTTTTTTTTATTTCCAAGCGGTTTAAGCCTTCTTCATGTCATCAGAAGGTTCTATGTAAATAATTTCTTGGTTATGCAGGTTTGGCTGTAAAAAATACTGGGAGTTGCCAATAAAATTAAACCAAACAATTAACCACATTTACTGGAAATGGTTCTCAATTTTCATACATTAACAAGAGAACAATAACTTGTTTTTTTTATTCAAAAATGTTCTAAGTTAACCTTTACCTGGTTGTATAATTGAACTATCTGAAGGGGCAAGATATGTTTTCTCAGCATTGTTACTTGAGGTTGGATCAAAGATAAAAGTAAACATTTAGACTGGATTATACTGCAGGCCTGGTGTGAAGAAGATTTGATCTTTTTCATTTTTGGGATGAAACTGGGTCAGTTTTACCACTGAGACTGCTGGGAATTAGCAACAGCAGAACCCTCTGAAGTGTTTTTTTTTTTTTCTTGATTCAGGAAAACATTCACAGCGACCCTAAAAATCAAAAGGGTGCAACTCTTTGATACATGCTGTATCCGTTTTAAAGCAGAGTCCCTTTACGGCAGTCTCAGACCGAATACTCTGCTGCTGCTGTGCAGGCACTCCCACTGAAAGCAGTGAAGCCTGGCTCTCTTGCAACTCCGACTGCAGGAACGACGTTCGAGAAAGTAGAACTTTACGTAGGTCAATGCATTTTCTGGGAGTTTCATGGCAAAAGCCTTAATCTGTGGACATAAATATCCTTTTCATTCTCCAAAAGCCTCTTAATTTCCTTGTCTTTCTGTTTGCCTTTTTGTTTTCCCTCATCAATTTAGTCCAGGTGGATTTTACTCTGAAATTCAGACTTTTATAAACCAAGTTTACCTGTTTGGTTTGTCAATTCAGGAGTTTGATGTGGGGAATACTGCAGCGTCTGGCCAAACCTCCTAACACAATCACCGGACGGTCTCGATAATCACAACAGCACTGCACCGATTTGAGATTACACGCAGTTTTTAATTATTCGGGTTTGTTGCAGCACCCAAACTGCATTATGAGCAAGCCCTGGCATTAACCAGATTTAAATGCTCTTGGTATTAAATATCCTTAGTCCAAAATAAAATGTTTTTAAGAAAATCAAAGCATTACATCTAAAGGTTCAGGTGAAGAATTATATGTGGAAAGCGGCAGCTTCTTTGAATCATCATCAGCTATTATTGCTCTGTTCCTCTGTGTGATTATTATACACTAAAGGCTCAAAGGTTCAAATTTTTTTTTTCCTGACTTTAATTTCCTGGTTAATAAAAGTCCGAGTCTGGGGTGTAAGGTTGTGTTAAAGTTTAAATGCTTACCATATATTTACAGTACAGACTGTAAGGCTACAACAGGTGAAAAAAAAAAAAAACCCTGAAAATTCTTTTTTATTCTGAGTTTTATTAGCCTGAGTGAAACTAATGAAAATGAACCACTTATGGGGTCAATCACAAATTCACAATAGTTAAACTTGGTTTAGTTTGCTATTTTCCCTTATTATGTCAATTAAAATGCCTTTTAGGTGTAAACGGGGTATAATTGTGTGATATAATATATGTGTAATCATATGCAAAATAAATATAACAGAAATTAAAAGCATAAGAAATCCTTTTTTTAAATCCCAGAGTATATTAGTGAGAATCTATGTGTTTATTTATCATTTTTATTCTAGGATTGTTTCTTTGCCACAGTTCAGGAGACACAAAGAGATAAAATACCCCACCCAGCTCCCACCCACAGCACAGGGCCAGAGGGAGGGGTCAAAGGTTAACTGAAGCTGGGTGTAAGGTCAGCAGGGTTAAACTGGACACTTTAGCAGACCAGCTGTCTGGGTCAACAGGGAAAGGAGTTCTTGTGTGGTCTGGCAACCAGTAAGACTCACAATGCGTCTTATTCCTGTGGCTCTTCCTTCTGCTCAATACAGACAATGCCCAATAAAATGTGTGTGTGTTTGAGGGTGTGTGTGGTATGTGTGCGTATTAACTTGCAGGTAGGAGTGTGTCTGTTTGTTACTCGCTTTCTTACCTAGCCAGTCGTTGAACTTCTTGACCTCAGACGGTAGGCCGAGCTCTGTGAAGTCACCCATGTGGAGCAGCACGTCGCCGTAGGGCATCTGGATGCCATCTGTACGCGAGTGTGTGTCTGAAACGCACACAAACCTGGTGTGTCCCGCCGGCTTGGGAGTGTCATAAGGAATTGGGTCTACCCTAGAGAGGACAGAGGAGAAGAGTGTTGAGAAAGGACACAGGAGAGTGGGGCTTAGTTGCCAAATTAGATTCGTCTTTCTAAATATTTACAGGATTCTTAAGGAAGTGAAAATCCATATTAACAAGGAGACTGAAGGGCAGGAAGAGGGATGGACCGATGGACAGGCTGGCAGACGGATGTACACACAAACTGATAATCTGGCACCTCTGGACAGATCGATGGATGGATCAATGGAAAAAAAAATTTAAGTTTCCTCTGTAGCTATCCAGCTATGAACAATTCGCTGATCAGATTCTAGACTTTCTACATTTATTAATTTCAGATCAACACCTACAGGCTTTGCTCTATTTGTTCATAAATCGAGGCTGGAAATTTGACAAATTCAAGGATAGAAAAAACAAAAATTACTTCAACTATTATGAAAACTTTTCTTTTTTTTTTTTTACGTATAATGTTAAATTATCAAATTATTGAAAGTATGATTGCTGTGGCTGCTTATTTTTCTGCCATTTCTGCACTCATTTCACATCCTCATTTTGTTCCCCAACAATGACGGTCTTGGCCGCAATTACAATTAGGAAAGACATGTGAAGTTAAACAGCATGATGCAGAAAAACAGGACACTTTGTTGTGTAAAAATAAATCTAACATTCAAGAGAAAAATGCATCTCAGTGACCAAAATCCATCTCAGGAAAAATAATAGACATTTCAACCACTAATCTGGCTGATTAGTGCTCACAGGAAGGGCAAGGCTTTTAATTTTTTCCTGGCATAAAATTGGCAAAACAGACAGTGAATCAAAACATGGCGTGTACTTTCAATCCATTATCTGAAGAAAAAAGAAAAACTCAAGCCAGTGTAAAAAAAAAAAAAAAAAAAGAAAAAAAAAGCTTTTTAATGGAGGCTTTTTTTGTTTGCAGGGGGGGAAAAAAGGCAATGGCAACCCTACGCCGTTTCAGGCTGAAAGCAGAGAGAGAGAAAAAAAGCATCTCGACTGTAATTGAAGTCTACAACGTGCAATTCCTCCAACACTCTGCCTCTACGCCATTATTTCATTAGAAGGGATGTCACTCTGCTGACAAAAATCAGACATATAATCAACCCTGCAATCTCTGCCGTGACGAGCTCACACAAACACACACCGAGTTAACTCTAATATGCACCCAAAGATGGCAGAGAAACAAGCGGATGAGATCCAAAGAGTTCAGACTGAGGAAGGCCATTAAAAGACACAAAATAAGACACTTTTCTGCAGAGGAACACATCTTACATCCACAGATTGCAGCAGAAACTTAATTCTGGATCCAATTTTCACATTTCTATAGTATTTTCTGAAGCCTAGTATACTTGAAAAACTAACAGGAAGCAGATTCTTACAAAGTGGTGAACGTGCCATGTTTAAAGATTGCAGTAACTGATGGAAAACTGATTCAAGTCTGCAGAAAACAGCTACGATGTTCATCCAGCATGTGGAGTCTTTCATTTGTGGGTCGCCCAGAATTGTACAAGTTAAAAGTCAATAGTTTCTTTGAGCTACAAGAGAGTCCAGTAATTTCCCTAAAATATTTGCAACAAATGAGGACATAATATTTAGAAATCCAATATGTGTCTAAAAGATAAAATATCAAAGGTAAAATGTTAGTTTCACAAGAAACCGAATGAGAATGAAGCAGAATTGAGACTTGGGGGTTATTTTTGTAATGTCAATAATGAAAGAAAAATCAACAATAACTGGGCAAATTAGAGGAAAAGGTATGTTGATTAGTGTAAAATTATTGAAATACTAATAAATAAAAAAATTACTTGTTTAAAAACTGTTCAATAAAGTGCAATACAACAGTAATAAGTGTGGAGACTGAATAAGAAAGATTATAGTGTTCAAGTTAGTTTGTGTTTCTCGGAGCCAATGTTTTTACTGAGGAAGACAAAACAACTTCCAAACAGAGAAAGCTCTGCATAAACATTTTAAACAATGACATGGAGACTCCTGCAGATTCAACAACTGTCCAACAGTGGAAAGGGTTAATTTTCTGCATGATCATGACATAAGATGCCGACTTTTGAACTTGATAACAGATTTTAGTAAGGCCTTTTCACAGCTTTATTAAACATCCCAAATGAATCTAGATCTGTTCAAACCGTGAATGTGTGACGTTTCCAACTCTCAAATCGGAACCGATTCTTCAAAGCAAAGTTTGTGAACAGCATTTATAAACATATTTAACTCACATATAAAATGTATGTTTTACTGCTTGGATTGGCATTTGCACCCTCTCAAAATGAAGAACACGGGTTCAATATAAAATAATGGGAAGTTGGAATAAAGGAAAAAACGCTGGGAAATAATTCTTCTTTAATTATCCAATGTACAAGTATCTGTAAGTTCCTCCTTAAAAAAAAAAAAAAAAAAAAACTGAACAATGAGGGTAAAATGTTACAGTCATGAGATGAAGTACGCTATTTAAAGAAAAGACTATAAGAATATTTAGAAGTTTAACGTTTTTCTTAAAGAAAATAGAATAAGTAATACTGTCTGTGAAATCAAACATTTTCTGCACCTGATTTAACTTTTCTTACTTTTAAAAACTAAAAAACCAGCAAAACAAAACCATGTTGATACTTTTCCAAACCTGTAGAACAGTGCATAAACCTCCTGGATTTTTAAAATTTTTGTCCTGTGTGTTGGGAAGAGGATGAATAATTGCAACAAATAATTGTTAATTTTCATATCATATTTTTTAGTTATTATGGAAGAAAAGGACAAAGTGCTTCCTTACCGATTGTTCACCTTTTGTCAATGAACTGACTTCAAACTAATAATCTGGTGGCTGGAAGATTAATTTGTCTAAATGAAAACTGGAAACCAAAGTTTACATTAGGGATGTCCAGATCCGATATTAATATCAGATATCGGTCCGATATTACTAACTAATATCGGATTTTATTGGCTGGCATATAAAAACTCTGATATTTTAATGCTGACTTGTTTTTCCCTGTTTTAGTAATATTACTCAATCAAGTCTTTCCTACCATTCCACTGTAATAAATAAGTGATAGAACGAGTATGATTCATGCTAATATTGTTTCAAGTCAATATCGGTATCGTATCTGAAATGAAATATTTGTATGTAACTGTAATTTTCAGTAAATTCAATAACAAAAGTATTCAAATATTTATTTATCACAGACATGTTTCTGTAAAACCTTTTATCATAGCAGAATCATTAGGAAACTATCTTGCGTTTTCAAACTGACTCGGCATGTTCACTCTCATCTTCCTTTTTCGTGTTGCATTCTTTTCATATTCAGAATGGGGACGTTTACATTTCTACGGCATTTTATGCCACTGTCCGCAGTGAGACCAGGGTGCAGCGTTTAAACTCACTTTTGTCGCACCCCCTCAAAACCTGTCTGCCACTCGCTCAACCCTGATAAACTCTGCTCTCCAACCTGTGCTCTCTTGCTTCAGTCCTGTAATTAATGCGCTACACAACCTTTCTGCATGCTGGCTTTGCCGTTTGCTTGCAATCCTTTTTCCCCACTGCTGGATGTGCCATTTGTGGCATCATAGCGCGTCTTGGCCGTGTTGTTTTGGTGTTAAATGTCTATCAACCGAAAAACCTAAAATGCACTTTCTGGTCTTTTTTTATCAATGCATCCCCCATTAAATATGTAATATTTGTAATCCTTGTTCAATAAAGCCTGTATGCCTCTTGCATTTACTCCTTTGCAGCTGCACACAGTCCACCATCTGTATTCACATGAAGTGTTTGTGTTTTACACTACTAAGAAACAGCTTTGCTTTGTTCTTGCACACTGGTACGGAGCAGGCATGCATGGCATATTAGAAAATCAGGAAAATGGAGAACTAGCGGAGGAGATAATGATATTTACAACCGACAGTCTGCAACAAACTGGGCTCTGTGCTCGTACGGGCATAAACGTGCACGCTCACATTACTCCAACCCAGGCAGAGTGGCACATACATTGGAGCGAAGCTGCTGATTAGATCTGGTGCTCTGTGGTGCCTGGATGCAGAGCGGTTCTAAAGGACTCCACAGTTCTCTTCAAGGAGGAGGCTTGAATGCCGGACCTCAAGGGATGAAAAAAACAGGCACAAACATGCTCATGTATATAGTCATAACTTATATCCACACAGACATGCATATTAAAACGAGGCAGGAAAAAGACTAGCTTCTTCTCCTGCACTCTCCTTTGAGATTTAATCCACCCAGAGAATGTAAGTAAATACCAGCAACCCCTATCAATTAGAGCAAGTTCAGGCCAAGAAGCCTTCATGATGGTAATGCATTAGTCTCTCTCACACGCAACGCTAAAACACAGAGAGCCCAAGCCTTTCCTGTTAACATACGACTGTAACAACTTGATTGGAAATGTATACAGGAGTTCAGAAGTTCAGGGGTGCAGCAGAGGCCTGTGATCTTTTGTAAACGGAGACCGTGAAAATGAAAAAGTCCTCCTGGGCTCCAGCAGCAGGTAAAAGATTATCCCCCCGTGACAGACAGAACTGTGTTAGCATGACGGTTCGCGTTAGAATGACGAGCTTTGCTGTGACATGGGCAGGAAAGACTGCAGAGGGGAGAGATGGAGGGGGAGGGATGCTAATTCGTCTGAGCTAGGGCAGGGGTACACTCTGAAACTCTCCAATCCACCATGACACCAGAGCACACACACAACAGAGGGCTTTCCTTGCAGAAGTATCTGTTTAAGTTCTGCTTTTCCATGCTTTAGCAGAGGAACATGGGGGCTTAAACATTTGCTAACCTTCAGCTGCAACACATCAGCAGAAATTTGACACATTTTCATTCAACTCCACTAAAACATTCCCATTTACTGTGCAAGACAAACTAAAGTTCATGTATTTTAGCTTGATCCGAACTTTCACCTCCATCATTTCTGTGGTTTGTCTTTACTAGTTCCTGCTGCTTTAGGTATTTTTCTGCTTCCAAAAACCTGACTAAAATAAATTGATTATTT